TACACAATACAGTTTTACCAAGTTGCTCAGTCTAAACTGGCATTGTTGTGCATTTAAAGTGTAAAGTTTACCTTCGACCAAACGACCCCCAACGGCATCCCAGCGCCCCCCTTTTGTAAAAATGTCCGCCAGCGCCCCCTGCCGTACCGCCCACGTTGAGAACCGCTAGCTTAGAGGGAATCATCTGAAAGTGGGTTAGTCCAATTGTTGTTAATCAAATGAACTAAACTGATAATCAGCAAATGTGTCAAAAGCAGAAGGTTGTTTATAGATCTGGAGGACACAGATCTGTCTCATCAAACTGACCAAAGTGAAGATATCTGACCATAATTCAACGGTTGGAGAAAACCTTTCACAGTTTAGCTCACCGACACCTAATGCCAGATGTTACATAGGATAGCATATTACATAACAAATACTACTTGTTTAAAAGGATTGAGAGTTCAGTTCCAAAGTGTAGGTGCTTGGGCACAGTGAACACCTCCATATTTGGAGGAAACCACACAAAACACATCAGCACAGAGGCTTAAACACAGTGGTGAAGTGGTGCTGATTTGAGCTTATTTTGCCATCACTGAAGCATGTGAGTAAAATACCTACCTGACAGTCACAGTTTGCCTGAATTTGAGTCATGGAAACACTGAAGAAAAGCAAAGAGTGGGGAAACCTTCCTCCACAACGACGGGAGAGGCTGATAAAGACACGCTAAAATGCGAAAACTTTGAGATAGCCGTTGCCCGAGGCGGATCTACAAGATCCAAGATCCACAGTTTTGTCATCTTCAAGTTCGTTTTGCTGCATAGCAACAGTGCTATTAACTGCACCACCATGCAGCCCGTAAACCAGGGCTGTCCAAACGTTTTGTCAAAAATCATCGGGCCAAAAGTACTCATGGGCCAAGAAAAAAAACTGGATAAAAACGGAAGTCGAGCAAATACAGCAGCCTGGTATTCATTTCTAGTAGAAAAGGGGTTATTCATTGCATAGATCCAAAACTAAAAATGATTTTGCACATTTGCTGTATTTTAGGCTCAGTTGAAGAAAATTATCTTAGGTTTAAAAACAGGATTTGTGCACCTTTCTTTCAAAACACCAGCTATATTTGGACAAGTTTAATAAATTAATTAAAAGCTATTCTGGGTGCAGCAAAATGGGCTTTGCAGTAACAGTCTCTGGATATGTGTGGTTCTATTTGTTAGAAGTTTGGTTGAAAAAGAAAAAAAAGACATTTTGTTGTTCTTAACATTTTCCATTGTAATAATAATTTTACCCTGAGTAAAAATAAACTTCAACAATTTTGAATCATTCTTGAACTGAAGTTGGGGCCACACTAGATGCACGGTGGCCAACAGATTTAATTTTAGAGTAATTTTAGAGCCTGCTCACGTTTTTCCCCTATAACATAAAAACCCCCAGTATTATGCATAAAATGGCTTCCAAGTCTTAAGATTGGGAAGGAAAATCTCAGAAACTGTTTCTTGTCAAGATAAGGTGCCCAAACCACAATATTTTGTCTCCATATCTATCTTCAGTTAACCAGCAAGAGAAGGCCTTTTCCTTTTAAAACAAAAAGGGCCATAAATTACAGCAATTGTGTTGACAGATGACTATGTTGCCCTGCCAAGGCAGCTAATTATGTGAGGTGATACTGAATTTGAACTCAAGATATCACAGTCAGTGTCTGCAACACTCAGTTGTTTAGTTTCACTTCATAAAAACGAATGCAAACTGATTTTAATTGGGTCAAAAATAGAAATAAGATGAAGAGGAGTTCATTTATTTAGGTAAAGTTGCGTTGATGTTCAACACGTTTTACATTTAAAAATGAGGAGATACGACCAGCAGATGTCACTCTGGGTTTTTTTTTATTTTTTTTTTTTTTAAGACTTTATAAAAATGTTGCATGTAATAAAATAGCCGTTAGAGGTCGAAAAACACCAAGAAAACTAAGGATGTCTGAAGAGAGAGAAAAAAAAGCTCCAACTCAACCAACCCTGCGTGGTCTTCTATTTTTAGTTTACTACGGGACAAAACACGCACATAACGGGATTTTCATACCAACTGCGCCGAGAATTACATACGAAATCAACAGATTCGACATGAAGCGTGATTAGAAGTTATCATGGCTTCACTTACCCTCGCTTCCATACTGTTTTCCATTGTTCGCACCCATTTTAAAGAATACATAATCTACGAGCAGGCACTCGGGTTTATCAGGCTGAACTCCAGAGGAAAACACAAAGGAGGCAGGCTGCTTTAAAGCTGAAGTTTGCTGTTGCCGTTAGATCCGACTTCAAATAGTTAATCCAGATGTTGAACTGAGGACGGCGGAGCATTGCGCAAAAAAAAAAAAAAAAAAAAAACTCGAGAGTCCAGATTTGGTGCGTTTTGCAGCGTTGCAGACTCTAAATCCGAACATCCGCAGACACAAGTCTTGATTCCAGAGGAGGTCCAAGGAAAACTTTTTTTTCCCTTTTTTTTCTGAGAAGTTCCCCCTTAAATGGTAAGCAGCTGTTTATCAGGATGAGTGGAGAGTCCAGACAGGCTTTGTGAGGACGCGCAGATCCCGTCCACTGGTTTGGGATTTAAAGAGACCGCAGACCAAGAAAGGAGAGCTTTTTTTCTTCCTCCCCCCCCCCCCCACCCCCGCCCCACCCGCTGTTTCCATTTTCCTCATCACCTCTTCATATGCAGCACT